ACCTGAAGTCCCTTGTGAACATGAATGAGGTGACAGAATACAATTGGTGTGAATATGTGATTGATGCACTGGTCAAAGGATGCAAAAGTTACCATGATGGGAAAGCATTCACCGGATCGATTACCTTTTTCTGGTACTTACCATATCCGTACAAATTTTACTATTTATCCATATTGGTTGCAATGTTTATCCAATTTGCTTGTACTGATATCATTAACACCGACTTTTTTTTTTTTTGTTAGTTGTGTTACCTTAACATGTGTGAGTATGAGAGAGCACATCCCAGGTCATTCCCTGTGATCAAATGTTGGGATCAAAAGATGCTGGACGACATATTAAGACTTTAGGGAAGCAATTTCACGGATGTCCAGACACTCGAACGTCTCAAGAAACCGTCCTCAGCAGCATGCCGAGAAGAACACCCAAAGGGTGAATCACAGAAGGAGGATACACAAGCCAACCCCAACACACAGCAAGTCTATGTAGTGTTTTACCATTTTTTTTAGATTACACCTACGTATCCAACTTAGTATCTCCACATTCCACTCACAACATTCACTTTTGCAGGACCTTACTGCTCTTTATGAAAAGTTCTACCGATTGATTATCACGATGAACGAAACTGTTTTAGACATACATGAAAAGAAAATAGAGTTAAAATTTGAACCAGATGAACAAGCAAAGCACACAATCAAGATCCTAACAGAAGCAATGGTGTCGATGAGTAGAAAGTTGCCTCCGCCTCCAGGGACAACGCAACACCAACAAGAGCAGCAACAAGACCCACAGCATCCAGAGGACCAACAGCATCAACAGGAGCAAGAGCAACACCGAGAAGTAGACCTCCAGGGAGTCGGCAATGGGAGGCGGCGATTGAGGCTTTGAGGCGGCAATGGGAGTCGGCGATCGAGGCGTTGAGGTGGACACGGCCGGCGGCGATCGAGTCGTTAAGACGGGTACGACATTTAGCGATCGAGGAAAGGCTCCGATTCCACTAGAGTTGTTGGAGATCTACTTCTCGACATTGCTCTTGCTTCTGTTGATGCTGTTGGTCCTCTGGATGCTGTGGGTCTTGCTGCTGCTCTTGTTGGTGTTGCGTTGTCCCTGGAGGCGGAGGCAACTTTCTACTCATCGACAATTGCTTCTGTTAGGATCTTGATTGTGTGTTTTACTTGTTCATCTGGTTCAATTTTTAACTCCATTTTCTTTTCACGTATGTTTAAAACAGTTTTGCTCATCGTGATAATCAATCGGTAGAATTTTTCATAAAGAGCAGCAAGGCCCTGCAAAAGTGAATGTAGTGAGTGGAATGTGGAGATGCTAGGTTGGATACGTAGGTGTAATCTGAAAAAAAAAGGTAGAACACTACATAGACTTGTTGTGTGTTAGGGTTGGCTTGTGTATCCTCCTTCTGTGATTCCCTCTCTAGGTGTTCTTCTCAGCATGCTGCTGAGGACAGTTTCTTGAGACGTTCGAGTGTCTGGACGTCCGTGAAATTACTTCCCTGAAGTCTTAATCTGTCGTCCAGCATCTTTTGATCCAACATTTGACAGGGAATGACCTGGGATGTGCTCTCTCATACTCACACTTGTCAAGGTAGCACAACTAACAAAAAAAAAAGTTGGTGTTAATGATATCAGTACAAGCAAATTGGATAAACATTGCAACCAATATGGTAAATACTAAAATTTATACGGATATGGTAAGTACCAGAAAAGAGGTGATCGGTCCGGTGAATGCTTTCCCATCATGGTGACTTTTGCATCCTTTAACCAGTGCATCAATCACATATTCACACCAATTGTATTCTGTCACCCCATTCATGTTCACAAGGGACTTCAGGTTATTCATAGTGATTCTGGAGGTGGTGTTTCCATGTAAGAATGTGCTCACAACGAAGACCAGGAAATCTCGTTTGAAGTCATCACCATAATCTTTTCAACTTGCAATTAATTGTGCCGCCGTGGATCTCGTCGGCAGAAATTTATTACTGTATCCCATTTTTTTATTGAATGCATCCACCATCTCTGCGTGCTCTGTTATAGCGAGATTGTTCTGTTTGAATTCTTCCACTGGTTTGGGTCCACGAGGAAGATCAAGTACAACAACAACATCTTCCTGTTTGATATCCACTACATTGTTGCCATTCAACAGGACTTGTCTCGCACCGGTCTGGAAATTGTTTGCCAGAAAGCTACATAATGGTGTTGGAATATTTTTGATTTTGAGATCCATCAAGGCGCCAAATCCCATATCTCTGATAGCCTGCCTTTGTAGTTGGCGATAATCTACCGCATCTGGCTCTTCTTAAGATCTGTTGGTTTATTGATTTCAGTGATGAGTTGGAAGAGATGGTTTGGTGTCATCCTAGTCTCAAATTTCTTGACATAATGTTCCGAACTGATTGGCTGTGGATGTTGACCAATCATCAGTTTGTTCTCAGGTTTCCTTCTTTTCTTTTTGGGCTTCTTATTATCAGCGGAGTCATTATCATCAGCGACCACAAGTTGCTTTGGATTTTCTGTCGGCGTGCTCTTCTTTCCCTTTGGTTTCCTTCACAAGTTTTGGGGCCTTGGACTTTGAGCGGGGGACTATTCTTCTTGTGTTGATTTTGGTTTTTTAAATATCGTCAGTGTTCTGTCAGAGAGCTCCCTTACCTCTGATTCAGGATCCGGTGATCTGTCTGGGTTGCGGTTAAGGTCGTGGCTTGCGCTGATCCGTCTGTGTCTATGTTTTGTTCTAAGCTCCTTTAGGGCATTGTTGGCATTGGACAATCACTAAGAAGTCTGTGGAATTAATAGCAGTATATGAAAAGGAATAGTAATCGAAAAAGGAGTAACCAGTATAAAATGGGTGGATAACCAGCAAATAATGTATGGACAAGTAGCCACGTAAAAGTACATCTAAAAAAAACAATGGATAATCAATTTACACCCTGCGGATAACCAGTATAAAAAGGGTGGATGACCACTAACAAAGTTTGGACAAACACCCATAGCACACATGCAGGAAAACATGGATAACCAGTTCAGATATAGTGGATAATCAGTAAAATACAAAAACATGGATAACCGGTTCAGTTTGTCCATGCCACATAGAATCAAATGTAAAAAAAACATGGATAACCAGTTTACGACTTGTGGATAACCATTTTACACCTTCTGGATAACCAGTTTACAACTTGTAGATAACCAATTTATACCTTTTGAATAACCAGTTTACATCCTCTGGATAACCAGTATGAAAAGGGTGGATAACCAGCAATTATGGCATGGACAACCATCACATAGCACACGCAGAAAAACATGGATAACCAGTTCAGATTTAGTGGATAATCATGAACAAAATTATAGATAATCAATAAAGCATGAATAAGAAACCATATGCGAACGCAACCACATATCAAACGCAACAAGGCATGGATAACAAGTTCAGATCTAATGGATAAATACAAAATATTGCTAGATAATCAAAATAAATAGGATCCCGAAGTAATATACTTACGAGTGAAGCATGTGTAGATGAAGGAGAGCTTGAGATGGCCGGAGATAGGGTTTCTCGCCGTCGTGTGTGTGTGTGTGTGTGTGTGTGCGCGCGCGTGCGTGCGTGTGCGTATGTGGGTGTGCGCACGTGTGTGTGAAAGAACAGACTGACAAAATGAAAACGCAGAGAGAAGATGAAGTTATCAAAATCATCTTCCAGCGGAGGTTTTCCGTCGACTTTGTGTAATTTTGTGGTGGTGGTCAATTTTGTATTTACCATAAAATGGAGAGTTTCCGTCGACTGTGTGTTTGTATGTGTTTGTGCGTGAGGATTAAAACAGTAAAATAGATGAAAATAATTTTGTTTGTGCATTTAATGTAAAGGTGAAAACAGTTGAGCGCTTGTGTTTGGTGGGGGGTATACGGTACACCCGGGTGCAGTGGATACGGACTCTAACATATCATGGTATATGGTAAAAATATTAAATTGTTTCGGAATGGGTTCTCTCTTTTTTTTTTCTTCTTTTTTTTTAACGAGATTTTGGTTTGTGAATTTTAGTAAGTTGATGAAATTCCCTCTTATAGTTTTTTAATCAAGTGATGGATTTTGTTTCTCTAAATAGTCTGATTTTGTTAATGAATGATAGTAATGCCTTAAGTGAGCTTTTGCCATTGGTTGATCCTCTTAAATCTAATATTCCTACTTGGTAAGTAGCCATGTGTTGTTCTGATCACTATTATTCATTGCTCTGAATCAATGATGGGCATAACTTGTCATCAAAAACTTAAATTATGAAATCAACAACTAGGCAGATACATTAGCTTTACTGCAATTAATTCAATTTCTTAGCATGATAGTTTAATAGGTGTTTTAAAGTAGTTATAGGTGTTAGTATCATGAAATTTTAAGGTAAATGTGCCTTTTCTATGAAATTTCCTACTTACTAAGAACATGTGGCTTCGTAGGTCAGATTTCTGTAATGTGGTGTGGGATAGCTGGACTACTGAATCGGGCTTATACAGGATGCAATCTTTTTCTTTCAAGCTTCGTCGATTAAAGTATCATCTAAAAGCTTGGAATAAAACAACATTTGGCGACGTTTTCCAGAATCTGGGAGAAGCTGAAACCGAGGTTCAACAAAAGGAGGAAATATATGAAGCTACAGGGGATCCAATAGATCGAATGAACGGGCAAGAATCAAAGGAAAAATTGTTTGCAAAAATGCGAGAAAGGGATGATTTTATGAGACAAAAAATGCGGCTGAAATGGCTCCGAGAAAGTGATGCAAATACTGTGTTTTTTCATGCTACCTTGAGAGAAAAACAAGTTCGACATGGTATTCATAAAATTCAAGATGGAAATGGCACTTGTCTTACGGATCAAACAGAAATCGAAAAAGAAGCAGTATTGTTTTTCCAGTCGCTGCTAACAGAAGATGAATCAGAAGGAAAGCTTGAAGCTCAAGAGACTTTGTTGCACCATATTCCAGAATTAATCAGTCAAGATGACAATGATCCACTGCTATGAAATATCACAAAGGATGAATTAAAAGCTCCGGTCACTGGTTTGGATCAATCAAGTGCACCGGGAAGTGATGGTTTCGCCGGTTGCTTCTATGTTCATTGCTGGAATGTTATTGAGGATGATTTACTCGAGGCTTGTCTGGATTTCATGTCTGGAACACCGCTGCCAAGAGCTATTGGTAGTACACACATCACCTTAATTCCAAAGAAAAGTTCTATATCTACATTCGCGGATTATCGGCCAATTAGTTTGTGTAATTTCATTAATGTTTTTCAGACCCCTCAAAGGCTATTTATAGCCTAGCAGAATATGAAAATACAAATTAGTCCTTATAGTTTCTAATCCCTACAATGGAGTCCCTACAATTTAGTTCGAGGCATGACAGTTCATCGGCGCTTGGACTTAAACCCAGGATCGAAGCCCGTCCAGTTAAGGTTCTTCGCCTTTGGTCCTTTTGGGAAGTCTCCTCTTTTGGCATTTGGAGGACATGCCCAAAACAACTTTGATTTAAACAGATTTTACAAAGCTAAATCCACCGACGTGGGATTCACAAAACATTGCTATATACTACTACAATGTATTTTATGGACAAGGATATAATGAAGAACAGGAATCAACTGAAAAAACTGTAGAATCAATTTAGAGTTTAAACAGTCCTCAATTTCATTACATATCAATGCTAATTTCTCCAAAATAATTTTCTCATAATAATCATACTGTAAGCTTATCCATCTCCCTTCTCAGAGCATTAGCCCTGACCAAACTCCCAATTGTATTCACAGCCAATTTTAGATCCTCAATTGGGTTCCCAGGAGCAACTTTCTTGTACAAATAGCTGTCGAATGTCATCTTCTGAACGTATTCGTCGGCGCACATCTCGACGAACGCCTCCCTCGCGGGATTCGACCGGTAGAACACCTTCTGCAGAATGTCCAGCACCTTGTATGTCGGCCAGTACGTTTTGTCCCATACTTCCAAATACTTCCTCAAATCCTTCTCTTCCACCATCCTTTTCCCGTTCTCTGATCCTTCCACGATTGCCTCCGCGCACATCCGGCCACTCTTCGCCGCGAAGTAGATCCCCTCGCCGGAGCATTTCGTGACGTACCCCGCCGCGTCGCCGACGAGTGCCGCCCGGTCTAAGAGTCTCCTGGGTCGTGGGTGCTCCGGGATTGGATGGGCTTCGACCCGGATGATTTTCCCTCCGGTGATCTTGTCCTGTGCCCGGATTCGGGTCGCCAGCTGGAATTTCTTGATGTCGGTCTTGTGGGTTACGGTCCCTGTTCCGACCGCCACGTGGTCGCATTTGGGGAAGACCCACCCATAGAAATCCGGCGAGACGTCGTCGCCGACGTACATCTCGGCGAGATTCTCGTAGTACTTCATCTTCTCGTCCGGGATTCTGATACGCTCTTGGAATGCTATGGCGTACTCGTAATCCCCGGCGTTGATTGATTTCGCCACCCGGGAGTTGGCCCCGTCGGCTCCAATGACGGCGTCCACCTCCATTGTTTTCTTCTCGCCGGCGCCGCCGGTTTTCGTGTTGTAGTCGGTGTAGTGCAGGACGTAGGGAGCTGTTGGGGAAGAGGGCAGATCCATTTTCAGGAACAGACCGTTAATCACGGTGGCTCCGGCGGTGGCTGCTCGGTCCCGGAGGTAGGCGTCGAGGATTTCCCGGCGGACCATTCCGATGTACTCATGGGGTTTAAGAGTCTGTCCGATGTCAACAGCAACGTTTGACGGAGAAATCATCTTCATCTTGGTGACTCGCCGGTCAATGATGTCAAGCGGGAGGTCGAATTCCCCAACCATACACAGCGGGATAGCGCCGCCGCAGGGCTTGCAGTTGTCCATCTTCCGTTCAATGAGGAAGGTCTCAATCCCGCCCTTCGCCAGCGTCTCCGCGGCGGAACCACCAGCTGGGCCACCGCCAATGACCGCCACCCGGAGGTTCCGGCCGGTGATTTTCGGGCTAGTTTTGGCCGCATTAATCCCGCGGGCGCGCCGGGTTTTGACGGTGGCGGAGAGGGTTTTGGGGAGAGTAACGGAGTTTGTCTCCGGCGTGGTTTGACGGAGGCCGATGAAGGTTTTGAGGGCAATTGACGTCATTTTGGTTCAGATTCTAATGGTTTTGTTTCTTCACCGGTTTGAAGTGAAGCGAGTGAGTGTGAATTTTGTTCTGGTTTTTGGTGATTTTCTTGGATATGGTTTGGGATTTTTAGGGAATGGTGGCCGTTAGATGAGTGACAATGAAGGGGTGGGATTGCATCAGGATAATGTGATTAGATTTTTAGTTTGCTTTCTGTGTATTTACTCCTGTTTTCCCAGTTTGAGCTTTTGAGGTATGGAGTTCATGAGGCTTTTTGGACATTAGTACGGTGAGGAGAAATGATGGTGACCGTTGCTGATTTTTGCATGTCTAACAGATGGCTACAATTCTGCCACATGTTTTGAATTTCGCGTATGGAATCTGTAATCTCATGTAGTATATCTGATTATGTTAGTGATGAAAAATTTCTGTCCTCAAACCCCTGAAATTTTTTAATCCCTCAATAAATTATTAAGAAACTAATAAAAAAAATTACCCTCTTCGACTCGGAGATTCAAAAGTTTCATTTCAAAACAAAGAGAATAATCATTTTGTCACTTCTCCGTCGAGCACTAAGAGTATTGATTTTGAGTTGTGCGGAGGTGATTAGAAGATTTATAACAGCTGAAAAATGTAATTGAAGATATTCTTGTCCATATTTTGAAGTTGAAGGTTGAAACAGGAACTAAAAATACACACATAAAATTAGTACTTTCTCCGTGTTAAATGAATGAAAGAAAGAAAATGGCCTCATGTTCCCTTGTTCCACAAGGATAGAAGGAAACACTTGAACCCAACATATATACCCCATGTGCTACTCCCCTCATCACCAATTGGTTTTGAGGTGAAACCACATGTAAGCTTATATTTAGGCCTTCAAGATGGTATCAGAGCGGGTTTAATCCGCAGACTTTTGGGACTTGTGGGGCGAGTTGGACCGACTCAGTTGGATCTTTAAACTTTGGTCAACCTACGGAAGAAATTCGAGGTTTGACTTTGAAATTTAACTGGCCCGACAGGCGACGGTTTATCGCAAGATTGAACAAAATCAGAAAAAAAATATATAAAATTACCCGTCCAAGCCCATTGAGCTTGAGAGGGGCGTGTTAAATGAATGAAAAAAAGAAAATGGCCTCATGTTCCCTTATCCCACGTGGATGGAAAGAAACACTTGAACCCAACATATATACCTCATGTGTTACTCCCCTCATCACCAATTGGTTTTGAGGTGGAACCACATGTGGGGTTATATTTGGGTCTTCAAAATTCCGTATCACAAAAATAGTCCACAATTGAGTTTTTAAATTTGTACTAAAAACAGTACAAAACTCAAAACTCAATGTGAACTATTTTTTGTGGCACATTGAGTTTTTAAATTTGCATTAAAAACAGTACAAAACTCAAAACTCAATGTGAACTATTTTTGTGGCACTGAGGGAGTAGTTCGTATAAAAAAGTAAACGGGACTATTTTTTTCAATAATGATAATGTACTCTACAAATGTAACTTTACTCTTATTTCTATTTATCTATTTACATGGTCTGTCTACTTGACATTTCAAATGACTTCCTTAATTATGTTTTTCTTTTTACAACCAAACAATAAATTTAAGACTAAAAGAGGCTTTTTAACCCTTGTCCTTTTTTCTTCATTATGTTACCGGTCACTACCAAAATTCTCCACATCACCAAGATGAAACTGATGATCAAAACCCTTCTGGTTCTAAGAAAGATAAAATTCCGGAGAAATGTTAATACGTTTTTTATTTTGTTTTATTTTTTTTTTATCGTCACACAGAAATCTAACTCGAAAAGAAATTCAGGTTCTCTCTCTTTACCAACTAAAAAGGGAAATTCCTCCTCTTAACCGCATCCTCCTTGCAAATTGTATAAAGTAATTGAATGAAAAAAAAGAAAAACAAAAACCACATTATCAACCTTATCAATTTTACTTCTTTACCTGAATACAGCCTGGGTGTTAATCCTAATTAATCAACTTGGCATATCAATGCCAATTAATAGCAAACCATCATCCTTATTGATTTTATTCGGATGAGAAAACATGACTACAAGTTTAATCTAATTTGTATAAAACTAATGATTAATTTAGTTAATATAGAGATAGAGATGTGTTGTTCAGAGGGCCCCTTTTAACCTTTTTCAATTGATAAAAAGGAAACCTGATTTCTTGGTAGTGGATGAATCTCTGCTTCGCGGTAATGACCGGGAAAAACAATGAAGAAAAAGGAAGGAAAAAATATTAAAACTCCTTTTAATTTATTATTATTATTTTGGTTGTAAAAGAAAAGAAAATATTAGAAAGGTGATGTGGAATGCCAACTAAATAAAATGTAAGTAGAAATGACAGTACAGTTAAATTCAAAGAGTGGAATATCACTACTTTATTATTATTTTTTTTAATATATTTTGAGATACAAATTGATGTGTAATAATTAAGTAATTACAGCTTTACTTACATAAGATCGTAATTATAAGACACAGATTAACATTAAATTTAGTTTAAAATTTTGAGCAAACCTCAAAACGGGTCATTGAATTATTAAGTAATTCTAATATAGGTCATCAATCAAATTTATTTATATAACAGGTCACCCTACTAAGCAAAAAATTCATCCGAGATCATTCTATTAATTTTGGCCATTAAATAGTGACGGGAATCCATTTTTCACATCCTTTTGGGTTCAAGAGTATTTTTGTCATTTTATTATTTTTAAATTTTTAATCTTTTTTTTTTACAATTCTTCTTCTTATACTTCTTAACTTGTATATACTGGTAGTATAATTTCTAAATTTCAAAAATTAATCTAAATTTTGTTTTTTAACTTCTAGATTATAAAATTTTAAAAAAAATTTAAGAAATGAAGAAGAAAAATTCGAGTTAAAGGATTATAAAATTTTTTAAGAAATTTAAGAAATGAAGAAGAAAAATTCGAGTTAAATTAAACATAAAAATTAATAATTTATCATTTTAAACTAAAAGAAAAATTAAAAGAATTATCTAAGATAAGTTGTTTCTTCTAGGTTATTTAATTTTTTTCAACTCGATTGAATTCTTTAATTATTAATTTTCACGTTAACTTCAATTTGAAAGCTATTTTGAAAACAACTTCTGTCACGATTTAACGTTCAAAATAGCTTTCAGCTAAGAGAAGTTGTTTCCCCTATGTTATTTTGGGTGTTAAATCGTGACAGAAAGCTATTTTTCACCTGCTTTTGGGTCTATGGACAATTTTAATCAATTTATATTTTTTAAAAAATATATTAATATTTTAATTAATTTTTTTTACAATTCTTCTTCTTTTACTTCCTAACTTGTATATTTTAGTACTAGTATCATTATTAAATTTCCAAAATTAATTTGTTATTTGTATCTTAACTTTTAGATTATAAAAAATAGAATAAGAAAAAATTATAAAATTCAAATTGAAGTTAACGTGAAAATTAATAATTAAATAATTCAATCGAGTTTAAAAAATTAAATAACCTAGAAGAAATAACTTGTCTTAGCTAATTCTTTTAGTTTTTCTTTTAGTTTAAAATGGAAAACTATTAATTTTCATGCTTACTTTAATTTGAATTTTTCTTCTTCATTTCTTAAATGTTTTTTAAAATTTTATAATCTAGAGATAAAATACAAAAGTTAAATCAAGTTTTAAAATTTAGAAATTATACTACCAGTATATACAAGTTAGGAAATATGAGAAGAAGAACTACAAAAGATATATATATATATATATATATATATATTTTAAAAGATTAAAATTTAAAAAATAATAAAATGACAAAAATTTCCCTGAATCCAAAAGCATGTGAAAAATGGATTTCCGTCACTATTTAACGGCCAAAATTAACAGAATGATCTGGGGTGAAGTTTTTGCTTAGTAGGGTGACCTGTTATACAAATAAATTTGATTGATGACCTGTATTAGAATTATCTAATAGTTCAATGACCTGTATTGAGGTTCACTCTAAAATTTTTCACTTTATATTTACGACCATCCATATAGAAGACCTACACGCTCTAGTCAATGATCATGAAGAACTTCCAAAAATGCACACTCGTAATTTGGTACTCAACGTAGTTACTGAATACTAAGAAGGTTGCCATATCTGTAGCTGAAAATAAATTTAAATGCAACTGTTAATTATAGTTCCAAGAAATGCAAACAAATGTAAGACGATCGATCCTGCCGTTTTTGTCTTGACAATCAGCATTTCTTGATCTCTAAATCTTTTCGACAGCCAAGACTCTCTTTGGACCTATTAATAACGAAGAAGTATCTCAAAGTTTAAATTAATGTTCATGGGGATTTAAACATTATGAACTAGATAGTATTTGGGCCGTTTTAGTTTAATAGTCTAGTTTATTAGATGGATAAAAACTTTGTGCCTCAAGGTATATTAATCCATCAGATTCAAAATACATAACCAAATCAGTTATTTGACAAGAAGTTCGTTTCAATTTTAACTAACCAAAGAAATGAGTTATTGTTAATTATTATAAAATAAATATAAACTAAGAAGTAGAACTGTGAGAGAGAGAGAAAGAGTATTCAGATGCATCTTATTCAATAGGGGCTGACCTCTATTTATAAGCAAGTAGTTACAGAGATAAGATCAACGAATATGAGTTCTAACTAAATATTATCTCTATACATGGACTCCTAATATAACTCTCCTACTTTATGGACATCCACATTATTAATATATTTATAACACTCCCCCTTGGATGTCCATTTCTTGGGATAATACCTCGTTAAAACCTTTACTAGAAAAAACCTAGTAGGAAAAAATCTATTAAAGGAAAAATAGTACATTCTGGAATATGACTCTACCTCGTTAAAAACCTTGTCAGGGAAACCCATTGGGACAAAACCTCGATCAAGGAAAAAGAGTACAGCGTGATGTTACTCCCCCTATTGAGTACATTACTTGTAATCTTCTCGCTGCATGCTGAAATGTTGACCAGTTTCACCAATGTTGAAATCCGTAGTTGATAGATTTACTAAACAGTCACTTCAACTTCCAATGCAGACTATCATCTAATGTAAACACACTACAGTCAAACTACTTGAACCGAAATCTTTTAGTATTCTTGTTTCAGGTAAGTAGTAATCTTTTCAACTTCCTTAGAAGTGTTAGTAACTGTGATAAACTCTTCAGGAGTTTTAATAATATTCAGGCTATTCAAACTTTGAAATGAGTTTCATTAATATTTAGCCTTTTTAAATTCTTTAAGTTCAGTGCTAACCAAATGGCGAAGACACATATAATTTATGAACAATTTATATCAATATTTCAAAATAAAAAGAACAGAAATCACATAGAAAACACAAACAATCATCTTACAGACAAATATAACGTATCCGGATAAAACATATAAAAATCAAATGCATAAAAGGTAATAACCAAAAGGTTCAAAAAATATGCACCTAGATATTCGTCTAGACACATGAAGG